CCCGCCAGCAAGCCCCTCGGGGATCGCCCCGAACCCCTGGCCCCTGGCGCAAGCAGCCCATCCAAGTTCAGGCTGGCGGGTCCCTCGGTCTCCAGCGCCCTCGCCACTCTCGGAACCATAATAAAAACACAAGACGCGGAAGAGGCTACCACGGCCAGAAGGGAGGAGGAGAGGGGACTGGGCCCTCGGGGAGCCCGGGGGAGGGGACGCCTCTCGGCGGCCCCTCCGTGTCCCTCCCTGTCACCGCCGGCCTCAGGCTCCGAGCCCCCCCCCCTTTTTTTTTTTTTTTTAAATTCCCGAGACACCGAGGACCGGGGCTCGAGCTTCCCTTGGCCTCCGGCGCGCCTCGGCCTCTCCCCACGGCCAGCTCTCCCCCCCCCACCCCCCCCAGTGCCCCCCGCACCTTTTAAACTACGCAGAGGAAGAGTTTGCCATCCAACTTAAGTCAAGCCGTCACCTCGCCCCCCTCCCCGACCCACACTTGTGGGGCAGGCGTCGGGAGGGACCACTTTGCACTTGGGATAAAGCGCGTTAAGGACCTGTCAACCATTTTAGGTCCTTTTTTTTATATATATATAGAAGACATCCTCTCCTTCCCCCTCCTTCCGTCCCTCCCCCTTCCCTCCCTCTCCCCCCCCCCCACTGCAATGGTATTAATTTCACACCAAATCTTCCCACCGCTGGAGAGGGGTTGGGAAGGGCGGGGGTGGGGACTCACGGGGCGGGGGGGCAGCAGGAGGGTGGTGGGGAAGGGGCAAAGGGGCAGCTGGAAGGGGGAGCCGGGAGGCGCGGGGAGGGGAAGGAAGGGGGGTTGATTTACCTGAGACCAGCCACTGGCCTCCATTGTTGGAGAATTCAATGGCATTGACACAGCCGAAGTGGCCGAGCAGGTCCTTCTTGTAGAGGTTTCTGCAGCCCCGCAGGCGTCTCCTCTGAAAGTCCTGAGTGAGCAGGGGGTCCCCATGCAAGCCCCGCTGGGACAAGAAGCCCACCACTGACCTCATGCTGCCCCCCAGGCCAGCTCTCCTCTTCATGCTGGAACCGCCGCCGCCGCCGCTCGGCCCGGGCCTCCCCGGGCGCAATAGGCTATCGATTCAGCTGCCTGTCGCTAGGAGCCCCGGGAGAGCAAGGCCTACATCGCCCGGCCGGAGCCCCGGCCTCGATTGCACCACTTTCCCCACCCCAGCGGGGGGAGGGGGGAGGTGGGACCCTGGAGGCAAGTAGGCCTAGATAAACCGGGGGGTGGGGGGGGAGCGGCCCTGCCCCCAGGAGCCTCGGATTGAATGGGGGG